AGTATATCGTTCTCTTTATTCAATGAATCACAACTTCTGAACTATAGTTCATGGAAGAAGAGGGGCATGCTTGGATTTGTGGCCAATTGAGCGGTGTTATGTCTAGGTTTTAACAGTTGAGTCCAATTGAGGATATGAAATTATATTGAAACTGAACTATTGATTTGCTGTTTCAATTAGTTATTTCATACTGTTTCCAGTTTGTCATAACATTTTAACAAGGATGTGTCTGTCCAATCTATTTCTTCACCTGTTTTTAGAGTTCATTGATGTAATTCCTGAGTTTGTTTCTTTTTGCTTTCTGGTTATTACCATGGCTAAAGCTAACCTAAAATGCCTATGTCATTTTTGTTATGCCTTGTTCAGATACCAAAAACTGCGGAAGGGTAAACTAGAAGAAGGTGAAACGGCAGGGTTATCCCCAACTAATCCTGCAGCAAAGTATGTCATCCTTGAGGAGATGGAGGATCAAGATGATGTCCCTTGAGAGCTTTAGAGATCAGATAATACCCATCCAATGAACCGAGTAAGCCTCCACAATGCCCTCATAGAATAAATTGACCCATGCAAATATTTCTTGATTCACCATTAATATTTTTCCATGCATGACTTTAAGTCTCATGTCATTTATCAATTCAATTCCTCTCACCAATTTTCTCTACATGTTGTAAGATGTACTAAGAGCTAGTTGAAATTCAGGTTTTACTGGAGATGCAGCTCTCAGTCTTCTATTACTTTGCTTGTCGAGAACTGCAATTGTAGTTTACCTCCATAAAGTTGGTGGCGAAACAGTAAGGTTTCCTAAATTAGTAGAAGCCACAAACAATTTTTTGACATTTTGCTGTTCATATTAAGCGGAAAACAGGCTTGTATGAAACATTTCATCAAGTTTTCAGTAGGGGGATCGATTTTTCATAAATACACGATTCCCCATGCCTAGTGTAATGTCAATTCAATTGTCATTATTTTCAAATGACATTCTTAAGTATGGTGGATAAAAATTGCTATGGTAAGCCATAGTAGATCAGGTTGTAGATTATAATTCAAGATATTTTACTTTTGACCGAATTGAAATCCCATCACGCTAGATGTTTTTTGTTGTTGCACTGAATGTAAATAACTATGAGTGTAATATCATGAAACTCATATTTTGGATTTGCCATTCCTCGTAGACCTGCTGCATGTGGCACCAAAATAAAGGATATGTTGTGTGGATGAAGAATAAGAGTTTGCCCTAATTTGAATTTGTGGAGCCTTTTGAGGCGGCAAATGAGTATTGATTTGTTGGATATTTTGAGACATTCTATGAGCGAATGCAATTATATTTTCATTATACATTTTTTAATATAGTTAGCCTGCAACTATTTTTCTTCTAGAAGAAAAGAATGATTTCTCATTAGCCTGTTAAGGCTAACAATAGTTGCGCGGGGAGTTTGTATGTCGTTTTCAAAAAAGCCTGTGTGGGTTAAAAACAATCTCCCTGGGAATGGTTTGGGAGGTTTAGTATACTTTTTACTGAATGGGGTCTTACAAGGATTGGGATAGCGTAGGCAATTCGGTCTTCGATCAACAAACAAATGTGGGTAAAATTTTGTTAATTGTGTTCACAGATGATATATATAGTTATTGCAAGTGATGGTAGAATATTAGCATTGAAATCATATCTTCAAACGAAATTTCAGACCAAGGATTTTGGGATTTGTAATGTTTCTCAGGTGCGGAGGTAGCTAGATATTGTGAGTGGCTTTTATTGTCTGCAAGGAAAGCCCTTGTTAGGCTTTGCATTTTGAAGCTTGCAAACCAACTGTATGTGGGTGAAAGGACAAAATATTCTTCCAGGTCAGCTCGATAGTCAGACTGATCAACCCATTGACTTGGCCCTTCACCTGGATCAATTATTTCATTCAGATGGTTGGGTTGTTGACTCGAAAAGATCTATATTAACTTGTCCGCTTCATGGAAAAAATTGGTGGCTTTTAAGAAATTTTTATTGCTTTAGGAGAATGAAATATGACTTTCCAAAATAATTTTAAAGTAATAGTTCAATTAATTTTTACATACGAATTGTCTTTTATAATTTTTAATAAAAAATTATTTTTCTT